TATCTGCTCTCATTTCACCATAGTAGCTGAAGTGCTGAAAGGACAGTTGGTTATGAGGATAGTGACAGCTGTAGCTGCAGCTTTTTTTTTTTTTTTTGTCTGTCTCGCACAAGTTTTACAGCACTATTGAAGGACAACACTAAATTGCTGCAGTGCCCCTTTAAATTCAGGCAACTGCATGTAACACACATCAAAGCTGATTATACAAAGAATCTCTGCTTTGTCATGTTGGAGAAAAATTAAAAAAGTGAGATTTTTGATGTTTGGTGACCCAGTCCTGATTGACTTAAATAATGAATCATTTGAATCAGAACATGCAAATGTCAGTGCACCTACAATTTGGTCTGGTTCTGTGTGTGTGTGTGCGCCTGTGCTCATAGAACAAAATGTTTTTGAACTGCCGTGACTGATGGTCACACATGGTCCTGCACTGTAAACAACGAAAATACTGCCATGACATATGCATAACACATCTGGACAAAAGCTGTGCCAACATGTTGTATATATTCCAAAAAGCTGCGTCTTATCCAATGAATCTATAAGCATGGCCTCATCAGATAGACGTGTTACATATGTACGACTCTGTAATGAAATAAGCTTGATGTTATTCTTATACTCTGTTTGTAATTTTGAAATGGCACGGTCACAGTAGTAAATGGAGACATTGTGTGCTAAAAATCAGTAGCAGGTGTACACTAGGCCTAATCCTTCATGGACATTTCAGGTCGTAGTGAGATTAACCTGAGGTGGTCTGGTTGATTCCCTGCTGGATTGGTTTAGCTGTGTTCTGAGAGAACAAGCCCCCAGTCTGTTTTAACTTATTACAGCAAGGCAAAGACTAACAGAGGTCACCCATCTGCCAAAAGTCTCCAGTCCACCTGTAACATAAAACCTAATCAACTAATGTAAGCAATCTTATTTCATGAATCGCTGGTGCAGTATATTGTTTACATTCTCTTTATCCCTAATGCGACTGTGTGACTGTGCACCTTGTTGGAGTCTGAGGTTACCTTACCTCAAAGTCAAAGTGTCAAATGCTCTCCACAGGTCTGAAATATATGAGCCACGTGTCTGCCTCACATCGTGTGTCCTGGTGGTAATGATAATGCAAGCATGTCTGATTGGAGTGGTGTGGTAATGGCATGGACGGTGTCTTCAGGGCTCATCATATTGATTGTGTGTAAAGCCCCTCAGACTTAGACGCAGACAGCAGATTAACAGGTTAACCTGATATGTTGGCAGAACGCTTTAAACGAACATTTGCGTGAAATAGATTAGGGGCTTTTGTCACGTTTCTGTTGTTGTTGAAGCTGCTGCAATAGTTCCCTCTTCTGTCTGGAGCATGATGTCCATGTTAATGGTTTGTTAATGTTTTGGGTTTTTTTGGGGGTTTTTTTTCAAAATTTAATATTTAGGTTATAATTTTCTCATCAGCTGAGAATACCTGTCTCACACTGAAATAAAAAAACTTGGATAACGAAGCAGACTTGACACAATCATTATATTGACAAATTGTAATATGATAATATTAATATGATAATTGTAACATGTAATAATTCTAGCTTTTACTCTTTGATATAATATGGAAAGGATCACAATCAGAGGTAGCAGTATTTACTTTAGTCAGATTAAAGCAGTCAAATATATTCAAACAACTGTGCCAGATTTCATTTAAACAATGTTATGGTGTTATAATAAATAAAATCCCAGATCTCTTATCATGTAATTTCAATCCATTGCCTTGCTGTGTGTACTCATGAGATGTTTGTTAGTCGGTCAGATCACGAAGAAACAATGCAAGCTCATTCAATCTGAACCCAACTTGAGCATTTAACACAGGGGCGGCTATAGGCTCTCTGCCTCTTGTTATCTGTAGTCATGATGGCTGAAGATGATAAAACTTTACCTGCACATAAGAGAGTCAAGAAAGGAGACAAAATAGCACACCATCATCCACTAGACTCCAATTACAGTACACACAAATCTGCAGTTCAATCTACAGTTAATGCCTGTGTGGCTGCTGCAAAAACAAAAAGTTAAGTTTGGAACTGGTTAAAAACAGTACAAATGAGTAACAGCTGTATCATGACTCTAAACTGACGGATGGGCAAAGTGTCATAAAACTGTCATGCATCTTAGTAATCACCATTATTATGATTTTGATTTTATTTCAGAGAAACTCTATGGTGCTCTGTGTGTCTGTAATTTTGATTCGTGGCCTCTTTGGAAAGACAATGCTAATCTCAGCGGGTTATCTTGTTATGAATGTGTTGTTAAAAGAAAATACGTAAATAAAATGAAGAACCCCAACTGAGACAATGCTGTTACAGACGATGACCGAAGACAAAAAGCCCCATGCTGGTGATCAGACAATGTGAACCCAATTAGGCAGAGAGGAGGAGAAACAAAAGGTGGGATGGTGTTATTTATGTGACACAGAGCTTTTAATTAGTATTTACCACCAAATAAATTCATGTAAATCTGGCAGAGGCCTGTAAGTATGTCAATTTAAGACACTTTGGTGGATCCACAGCCTGTTTTCAATCGGGCTTTCCATGTCTAAAAGATACTTAAGGCCATTTCTCACTGTAGTTATTGAAATAATGTCTGGATTTGTTTTATTTTTTTGCAACTGCAATTATGTATTGGTGTCATCAAGAAACTTACATTAAGCACTTGTCCTCCCATGTGGCCATGCAAGAGAGAAGAATTTGTTGGAGAGCCACTAACCCAGCAGTGAAAGGGAGCGGTAGAGGTAGAGGACGAGCTTCTAAGCAAAGAGAAACCCCCTTTTGCAAAAGAGAGTTCGAGCTACATTTCATCTTTTGTGTCCCAGATTGATGACCTATGAGATGGATGATGTTCTGTAGTGCTGTGTGGCATTGTCTTATCCTGGCCGACACAAAGAGGGAGAACACTTATCATCTCAGGCTTATGTATAGAGCAGGGGGCAGGGGTTGTCAGAATGGTGAAGAGGGTCCAGGAGGGTGGAGGGGAGGCGGGGAGGCGGGGGTCCCCCGATAAAGCCTGATGGAGATGGGTTAATGACAGCAGAGGCAGATGGAGAGAGCCATCTCCCATGACGACGCAGCCAGAACCTCCATCCTGAAGCCAGAGAGGGACGGACACAGGGAGGGAAGGAGAGAAATAGAGGAAGTGGGCCAAAAAGAGAGAGAAAGAGTGTAAAAGAAAATATTTGTTGCGTGTGTTTGGATGCATGTGTGTTTTAATCCATGCATTAACGCATATGGTCTTCATATGCCACGCATTTGAGGTGATGTTACAAGGTGATTTAAAACAGACGGTTTGTTGCTCAGGTTTGTGTTGCTCTGTTAGCTGCACTGTGACTTGCTAGCAGGGGGCCCAGGTTTGTTGTGCTTGGCTTGGGATTAGGCTTTGGGACATTGTTTGGTGGGAATAGTGCTGTGACTATAAAAGGATTAGTGCGAAGGGTTGCTTCATTGATTGTGAGTTTGTATGTATATGTTGGAGGGTGGGGCGTGTTGGGGGGGGTTAGAAATCTGAAGTTGACGGATGGATTGGATAGCCACCAAAATAAAATATTTGCTGTAATTAGGCAAAAGAAATAAACTGGCCTATTCAATGAAAAAAAAAAAAATTGGGAGAATTAAATAAAGCACAAATTGTAGTTTTAGGCATCAAATATGCCTGATACTGTGCCTCTATTTTCAGAAAGCATTTCAAAAAACAAACCAACAAATTGCTCTAAACTGAATTTTCAAAATTCAAAGCTTCCATTCATAAAAACAGAAAAACACACATGTCTTTCCCAGTTCCCACGTTCCTCTCCTAATGCTATGGAGAGAAAAAAGCCCTACCAAAATCATCTCAATGCCTCGAACCATGTGCCACCATTAGGGACACACAAAGAGAGATCTGACAAATGACCATTTTAATGCCCCTCTTTGACTTTAATGAATTTATACGTTATCTGGCCCTAATGGAGGCTGCGGTGGAGGGGCTGGCGCAAGGCCATAACAAATGAAAAGCTCTGATTAGTGTAGAATGAGCTGAGAAAAAAATGCCATTCATCTTGGTTAGCATCCTCCTGTGCTCTTTTATGGGTCGCTGTTACAAGTACGGTGGAGCCCGGGGGTGCTTGTCCCATTAGCGGGGCCGCCCAGAGGCTCGCTGAGTGGTCAGCGGGCCGGCGTTGACGGAGCGTCTGCCCGCTCCGCAGTTCAAGACTCTGAATGCCACAGTGCGGCTTGACTCCTGAATAACCTTCTGAGGTACCGCGAGCTTCACCCCTACATGACCCCGCACTCTGAACACGGGTGTGGGGGGACTCCGGGGGGTACCCAGACCAGGACTCACACTATAGCAATAGGTAAACACTAGAGAGATCCCCTCAGAGGAAGATGGCAGGAGATTAAAAACAGTGTTTTGCATTTGAAATTTTACAAGCGTGCACTTATAGATTTAATAGACTTTAAGCAATACCCAATCATATTTAATTAAAGTTAATAATAGCTACAGATTAACATGAACAATCCTTTTTTTGCTCGTTAAACCGCAAGAAATGTATAATGAATGTAAATATTACACAGTAGACTGCATCAAAAGTGGGTCATCATAATCCGTGTAAGATATGCACAAGCCTATAAACATAATGGGAATAAAATAAAAATTAAATGCTTACGTTGTGGTAGCCTATTCAATCTTTTTTGAATTGGTAGTCATGTGCTTTCATATCTCCTGGCATCACTAATATGTTGTTAACAATATTAGATTTACTGGCTGCAGTTATTATTAGTATTGAGGGGGGTTGTGTAGAAAAAAGGCGATTAGGAGAAAAAAAGGCAAACGGTATTAAAAAGCATGTTTTCTCTCTGTCGTTTAAGTAACATTTTACTGTGGAAAATCTTGCAACACAGTGTCACTGAGGGGAGCGACGTTTCGTCATGATCGTGTTGGATCCTGATATCGACCACTGTTGTCATTGGGAGAAGCCCTGTTTTGCCGCCCCCCCTCCCTCGCTGGGCCCCCGCGTAGAGCCGCCTTGCAGAGTTCAGTCGCGCTGGGAGAGGAATGCGCTGGGATGTGGAGCGGCACCGACTGTAGGAAATCGACGCAACAACTCGCACAGTATGGACAGTAATGATCCGTATTTACACCTCAGTAAGTACGCCTCAACGACCTATGTAGAGCGCAGTGTGACTGTAGTGTTCCACACGAAGCTGCTGCGTTTTGTTTTGACTTAGAGGGGGGTGCATTTGTTTCATGGCGTCTTCTCTCCAGCCTGCGAGCCGTGCGCGAAAGCGTCCGCGGACTTAAACGACCGACTCCTGTCCATGAATCCGGTTGTTCTGCTGCTCTCTTTGTTAATAATCGTTTTTGCAAGTGTGCCAACTGAAACGAAAGCTGCGACCACTGCAAAAGTCAGGTGATCGTGGTTGCGCCGGTCAGGCAAGGTCAGAGGTTGGCACTTTAATTGCGCTTATGTAATTTATGGCGCTTGTCGCGCGTCTCTTGCTAAACTGTTTGAGACAGAAACAGAATTTATTGGTCTGGGATGGTCGTCAGATCCAGAGAGAAATACATGTAACAGCCTTGAGGAATGGCGGATTTCTGCTGATAAACAAACTTCTACTTTGTGGTAAACAGGAGTGTAGCCTAGTGTAAGACGCGCCCTGGTCAGCGCTGTGGCTATATTCAGCTGAATGACAGCGTGTTGTGATTTTGCCCCGTAAAGCTGAACTCTGGTCTCACCCTGGTGACTTTGCCCTTGACCCAGCTGATGGCTTTTTTCTATTATCAGGATGTTTTTTTGGTGACAACGTAAAATCCACAGAGACAAGGAAATGGGATTGGTTCTGTTTCCACTGTGGAGTTTGCAACATGTGGAACACATACTGTACATAGTCTACTTACAATATATCAAATAAGTGTTAGGTCTGTGTTTTTGTCTGCTAAACATTTTCAGATTAGACTCTATGTTGAGAGAGAGAGAGTCTCTCTGTTAAACCTTCACTGAGTTACACACTAGGCTACATGCATCATTTATCATGTGATGTTTTTTTTCTCCCTGAATGATACACTCACTGTCAAACCACTGCAGTAGAAATATGGCATGTGCCTCTAAACCTTTGTCTATTGTGTGGGGGAAATGAAAGATAATAGTGTGGCACTACCAGGAAACAAATGAAATCAGTCTTTGAAGACAAAATCAGGCAGCCCCTTTATGTTATCACAGATATCTTGGCACCATTTGGAGGGGCTGAAAATTGTTTCCATAATGAATGTGGCTCCCAGGGGAATGAGCGAGACATCTGGATGGGAGAGCATGTAGAGGGAAGCCCAACGTGTACAGAAGTAACAGAGCAGCCCCCCCTGGGCCACACAGTCTTTGTTGTCTGTCTTTAAAGACTTCACTTTGATCAGGCAGTAGAGGCATCCCAAGATTTATGCAGATTAGGACACCAGTGTGGTTTTGTGCAGATAAGTTCATCTGTTATTGATATTTTATTAAGTATCAGATATTGGTCAGCCATGTTTCCCCCCGCCTGTAATCCCAAAGTTTTTCTGTCTGTCGAGCCATAAAAACTGTCTTAAAAATGTAAAAGAAAAAAAATTTTGGCACATTTTACTAAAACCCAAAAGACTTAACTTTGGTTGTGATTGACATTTCTCATTTAAAGTTCCAGTCTGCCATTTAAACACAAGAAGGCCATCAATCTCTGTTTCAGTGGGGAGTTTTTTTGTCCAATTGTGGTCCCTATATTGGCTGCTGTTGCAGCTTTCCTGCCCCACAGTGGATAGCAGTTTGAGTGAAACACTGAATATTTGTAATTTTTTGATATTAAAACAGTCTACAGTATAGAAAATATGAACTATGAACACATGACTTCTAAGAGTGGTGGCTGTCAACCAGTATCAGTTGAACCCTAGATGAGGACAGTTCATATATTTTAGTGCAATTACATAAAAAAAGAAGTTGTTAGTAAAGACACTGAGCTGTTTCCGAGTGAAAGCCACAACCACTGAAAGATCATTCCAAGTCTTGTTTTGTCTGTGTTTTGGCTCACAACTATGATTTATGATGTATTTTAGCATACACAGCCCACACACCCAAACAGATATGAAAATAGGGCCATAAACAGTGCTCATTTCTTGAATGGGAGATGATCACCCTTTGGAATCTGTCAGGAGTGTGAGGCGAAGGCGAAGCAGTGTGAAGTGAAAAAACAGTTTGGTGATTATGTGCGGATTGTTTCACGATCCACTCAGCTTTTCCCAGACATGTTGTGTTTCAGCAGGTTTGATGCAGGCCTGCCCCAGGCATTAAGTACAGTCAGCATTTTTTTTTTTTTGCTCAGGGTTTTCTATTTTTCCGTCAGTGGAAGTGATTCTAGACACACTGTCGAGCACCCACTCCCAAGTTTTGACAGTGAGAACTTAATTTAGCTCACCAATCAGGGAAGTTGTGGCAGAAAGAAGAACGGGATGGGAGAGTGAAGGGAGCAAAATAAAAGGGCAACGTGATAGGGGGGGGGGAGGGGGGGTGGGTCACCCTAGTTGATGTGATAACTCTTCTATCACTGCCACGAGGTCAATGAATTCACTCCCGCACGCACAACTCACAAACACAACACACACACACACACACACACACACACACACAAACATGCACACACACACTCAAACAGATACAAACACAAGCAGAAAGAGACACATACCCAATCACACGCTCATGCCTAAATTTCCATGGCTGCAAACATGCAGAAAATTTCTATATGCATAGCTTATTGTGCAGCAAAATGTGACCACGATATCATGTGACTTAAAGAATGTGGGTGTTGCTGTTTGACTGTGGAGTCCCGGCAGCATTGAAACATGCTCTCTAACAATCCCTGCACAGAGCATTGCCCACCCACTCCCTCAGAGTTAAATGAACCACACAGGTGGAGAGGGTGGGGCAATCTGCAGGTATTTGCTCAAGGATTCTATAGCCCGAGACCTGCAATGCTTCAATGCTGTCACATTCATTAGCACACAATGCACACCATGGGCTTATTCCTGGGCACATTTGATTGAGTGTGTGTATTTATGTGGCAGTGTAAAAGACTCTGCTTGTCTTCAGTGTGTGTGAGTGGGTGCTAATTGTGAGAACAGGATGAAGGGAAAAGAAGGGGCGTAAGGAGGCCATTCTCTGGGCTAATTGCCATTAATTAGTCATTAGTGAAGAAGGTCAAAGCCTTGATTTAATTCCAGCTTTAATCAAGCAGAGAACCTTGAAAGGCCTACGGGCTGCAGCCGTGTTTGGTTATGAGATGTAGTAAGCTGTTCCTTTTTTAATTATGCAATAACAACATACCTATCACACATGGACGCACAGCAACTCTCATTTTTTCCATGCACTAAACATATACTACTCAGCCCTGTGAATTTAATCATCTGATCTGTTCAGTGTTTGCTTTTAATTAATTCAGCAAATGTAAAGCATAACAGAAAGACGTCTCACATTCCACGTATATAGTACATTTCCATATCCTGCTAACAGTGTATCTGAGTGCAAGCAGAAAAAATGCTACAATTTGCACCTGCACACACACATGGTGCTGATGTGTCGGTAAAACCAATATTGTTAACAGTCATCAGTGGTACAAATTTTTGATGGGAAAGCATTATTGGTTGCCCATTCAAAATATAAGTATAGTCTGTGATTGAATAAGTTTGAGATAAAAGATTGAAATACTTCATTACACCTAACAACAATCCAGTTATGCTACTGGATTTTTATTATTGCTGCATTAACATGAAAGCAGTACTTAAATCTAAGTAGTTGGTCGAGGTGGAGCTAAGTTGAACTGCTTCATATACTGTTGGGTAGTTTACATATATTTATAAACTGTTCATAGATATTATATTTAAAATCGCAATGTGAAAACTAACTACAGCTGTCAAATAAATGTAGAGGAGTGAAACATACAATATCTGCCTCTGAAATGTGGTGGAGTGATAAGTAGCAAAATGAATCAAAATTGTACCTAAATGCAATTCTTGAGTAAATGTATTTTGGTTACTGTATAGTTAAACAGTGTCCTTTGATATACCCAGATGATGCTGAGAAGACTAGTTGATGAATCAGTTTAATCAATAATTCTGTTTATTGATTAATCGTATTACTTATCAGGAAAAAAAAAAAACAAATATTCGGTGGTTCCAACTTCTCAGATGTTGGAGTATTCTGCTTTCCTCTGTTTTAGATCAGTGTGACTTGACTGTGTTCGGGTTTTTGGCTGTTTGCTGGACAAGAAAGGCAATTTGAAGACATCACACGTGCTCTGGGAACTTGTGATGGGTATCTTTCACTATTTCCTGACATTTTTTAGAATAAACCATTAGGCGCTTCTTCATATAATGAATCAATAAGGAAAACAGTCATTTTGTTACAGCCCTATTCCCCAGAGTCAGTCCCAAAGCAAGTATATGATTTGAAGGGTTAAGCATTTAGCTCATTACTACCATTAATAGGACTGGGATTGATGAGGGGAAATTGATGGCTCAAATGAAGTTGATTTGAGTGACCAGGCAAAGTGTTCTTCATGGCACTCTGTGCCCCACAGGAGCACAAATGGCAGCAACAGGTAACAGCTAAGCACATTAGGTCTCATTAAACCTCTCCATTGAGAGACATGAAGAACATGCTGTAAACCTCACTAAGCTATTTTGAGTACCCTGAGTGCCATTTTAGTGTGCTAGTCCTATCTCACACTCACAAATGCAAAGGCTTGTACCTGATAATATGTATATGGGAGTGTACCCTAAATTTAGGTTTACCAAATACCACCCCACCCCTACCACCACCCCACCAACCCCCCACCCACTTCCCAGTCCATGATACATCTATGAATGCTAATTATGGCTCTCAGGGTTAATTTGACAGTTGTTATGTGGGCCACGACGCACTATTATAACAGCATGCATTTAAGAAGGACTGTATTATTTTAGCTTCTCCCTTTGGGATTTGTTAAGACTGAAAGAGAGGCAAGTGTCTCTTCTCCTTGGCTGTCGTCTCCTCTTGTGTCCGACCAAGTCGGAGTCTCTTGCCAGTTCCCTGTCACTGAGGGGATCTGGTTACTAGTGGCTATCCTTCAAGCACTGTATAGACATTTGAT